ATCCTGGGATTCTTCAATTCCATCATCTTCAGTAATTGTATCAACTCCTTTTTCAAGTCTTTTCAGGAATGAATTAATATTTTTATATATTCCATTCTTATAGTACTGTTCACAGTGTTGGCATCCATATTCCAATTTATAATAACAGTTCCGGTGAAAACCATGACCGCAGATCAGGACAGTGTCACCATTCTTTTCGTTTAATAGATTATAGCAATTGTCACAAAGACCTTGTAAAGAAGGAACCCCGTACTATAACCTGTAGATAGGAATATGGTATCGACTTTTTCATTTAAAATAGCAAGCTTGTATATTAAAACTTTTTTCTTTTTTCCAATTTGTTTCCATGAACTATCTGTTATACCATCAACTGTCTTCATATGCTGAAATATTTTGCGAAAATAATCTAGCAAGAATATTGATATCTTATTTGCCAAATACTCTAGATTGGAAGGCATATATGGATATCTCTTTTTTATGTGAAACATTTCTTTAAATGACAATTTCTTGTTCATATCTATTAATTTATTATTATACTGATTAGATTATTATTATTTTTTATTTTTATTTTATTTTGTTAAAGACTCCACTTATTACGTAAATATAGCCCCTTCAGAATCAGTCATTTGACAATTACAAGTTCTAAAGTAATCAAAATATAAAATTTATACGATTAGTTATTTTAGAGCTTGCAATTGTCAAATGATTGATTACTTTAGAACTTGTAATTGTCAAACGACCAACTCTGGAGGGGGCTATATTTATATAATAAGTATGAGTTCCCTTATTTATTTTATTTTATTTTATTTATTTATTTATTGGAGATAATTTTAATTTTTTTTTATCTAATATACAAGCCTGTTTAATAATAGTTTTGACACTATTGCTAGAAGACGTATTTGCTCATATTTTACTATGTAAGTTTTCAACGAAATAATCGTTAAAATTTACTAAAAACATCTTAATTACTTCTAACATTGGATGTTCTTTTTCTTGCCAATAAAAGATATCTGACAAGAACACTAAAGATGCCTTATTGTAGTTTTTTCGTTTCCAACGCAATGCGAAGGTCCATATTCAGAAAACCATTTCAATATATTCGTCGAAAGAGCTTGAATAAAAGAGGACTGCATATACATCTAAGGTCGCTAGAATTACATTATCTAGAAGATCAACTAATGTTTTATACTCTATAGATTTACAGGTAGTTTCAAATTTTTCTAATATTTTTATTTTTATTTTTATTCATTCTTGATAAGCAAGTTCTAAAAGAAATTTATTCTCTACGGTTGTGGTTTTTTTGCAAGGGTCTTTTTGCGCTTTCCAAAAACTTCATGAAAAAGCAATTTAAAAAAAGGATAATAAACTTTTAAAACTTGCTCCTGGCTATTCAACGAAACATGAAGTGGACCTAATATAGGTATAAAAGTATTTATGAATGGCAGTATATTTTTATTTTGTTGATGCAAGTTGGTTAATGCCTTTCATATAAAAAGTTGCTCGGGCTAGTCAGCAACAACAGGCATTATATAATCATTTGCACGTTCAATATCTTTAACTAAAAAAAATATTTTTTAGTACATTTAAATAATCGTTTAGAAAATGAAGCTGGCTCTCCCTAAAATCAACTAATCGCACTTCTTCCATAGTTCTTTCATTTTCCTTTTCTTTTATAGCATCGTTATAGCAGTAAACGGTTAAAAGATCAATTTTATTAAAATTAACAAGCCCTATTTCTTGTAAGGTAGTCCACTGATCTTTTCTTTATGTGTGTGAATAGTCAAAATTCTATGATACCGCTTAATTAGATATAGAAAAATTAAGGGTGTATCGATATTGACAGGGTTATAGACCGAATTACCATTATGGATTATTGGAACTGGTGCACATTGTGTAATTTCTTTACTTACGCATGTTGCAAAATGAATTGGAGCAGAAAGAGTTACAGTATCGAGACGTCTTATTCTATGTATGTTATAGTAATCATCAATATTGAATACAAAAAAACTATTTATCTAATATAAAATTTTAATTAATAAATTTAAGATAATTGCATGTTATAGTTACAGGATTTTGGGTAGAAGTAGTTTAGAAGTGTAGACGTAATGCCATAACTTGTAATTATATTGAGTTATAGCATTTTTGCCGTAACTCAATATAATTACAAGTTATAGTATTACGTCTACATCTCTGAAGTATTACAGCCTAAGTAAAGTATATATAGGTTCCTCACAAAATAAATGCGAGGGTACAGAATTATACTTTCATAGGTTGAAACAAAGTTGGGTGAATTTTTTTTTAAAAAAAAAAATATACTTACTTTCTCGGCAAAATATTTTCAGATGTTTTCTGGATGTGCAGCAACAACCTTTTTCCTATAGTTTTTAACAGTTTTGTAACAAACTATAATATCTGCCTTATGCATTGCATCAATTGCATCACAAAATGCACCTGATGCTACTAAATATAATCCGATTTCTAATGGATAGTCATTTACAAGCCTATTACGTATCATCGCAATTGAATAATATATATTAACTACTTTTTTTTTATCTTCTTTTCTATTATAAGATGATCGTCTTTTGGAGATAAATGCGTCATATAGCTCATTAAAGAATCCTACCAATTGTGGCTTAGCATCTTCAAGCATTTTCTGAAATTGATCTGGATTTAATTCTAGTATATTATTTTCTTTTCTTTGTTTTTCGTATAACACTTTAGTCATTAATGTGATCTTTTCACCAAATGATAATAGTTTTTTAACGACTATATTATTTTGCTTATTAATGCTAATTAATGACTTATTATAACGATCGGGCTCGGCAATTTCTAAGTAATGAG